CAGGTGCTTTTTTTAAAGGACACCGAGAGCAAACTACTTAAACTAGGCGTCTAAGAAAAATGTTAGTAATAATCACCTTCACATAGATGATGCTTGATAAACACTCGCTTCTAGCTGAAGCTGATCAATGGAGCTTTTAAGTAAATATCGTCTTTGTTAAAGATTACAGATGTGGATGAAGATAACAAGAAATGCTATGAATTTTATAAGAATGATGGTTTTATAATAGGTTGAACTGGATGAGTTTCACTGCTGGACTGATGTCAGCTATGTATGTGACTTAAGAAGAAGACTTAAGTTGCTCAAAGTGTGACAAGGATATCCTACCTTTCCTACCTTAATTAGTGGGCATAAATGGATGAACAGACACATTTATATACAGTGTTGGGGAGTGACGGAATACATGTACCACCGTTACGTATTTAAAATACAAAATATGAGTAACTGTATTCCGCTACAGTTACCGTTTAAAAAGGTGGTATTTAGAATACAGTTACTTTGTTGAAATAAATGGATTACACGGCGGTACTTTCCTGTTTCATATTGTGGCGGGTCAGGCCTGTTTGGGTTTTGTTTGACAGCTACAGTCTGTTGTTCCAGGCGGCAGCGTTACGGTTGCCATGGTTACAGGGTGACCTCTCGCTCCAGTGTTTCCTGGGTGAGAGAGGCCTTTTTGTTGTTGTTGTGCTAAGCTGATAGGCAGAATGCTACAGGTATAGCTCTAAAGAATGTAGCATCATAGGCAGCGTAGTCCGTGCTGCAGGGAGAATGGACTGCCATACCCGTTATGTGTCTGTGAGCGAGGGAGGGAGAAAAAGGAAAAGTACGAGCTGTCATCGAGCAGAAACGGGAGCTGGAAGCATGTAAATATAATAATAACCACTCTAGCCAAGAAGAGTGCCTGACGAGCCCAGTTGTAAGTAAGCTATTAAGACTCGACTGTATGCTGTGTTCGTGTTTTCCTCCAAAAACAATAAGTTCCGTTGGAGCAGCCTTTCAACGCCTCTCTCTGTCTCTCGCTAACAAACTTGAGCCAGACAACAAAGTAAAAAGCTAGTTTTCCGCTACGAGCCCGACACGGAACCCTTATTAGCCAGAGGTCCCTTTACTACGGTTCGGAGCCGCGGACCTTCAGTAACAGTAATAAATCACAGCAATAGTACATTCATGTAGTTGTAAACAGCATGATAATATATTAAGTAATCCAAAGTATTCAGAATACGTTACTCTCATTGAGTAACGTAACGGAATACGTTACAGAATACATTTTAGGGCATGTATTCTGTAATGGAATACATTTTAAAAGTAACCTTCCCAACACTGTTTATATATAACAACCTCCGTTGGCCAAAGTGCTGTACTGGTTATACAAAATATACACTGAAAACAATGAAAACAAGTAAACAAGACTGTGTTTGCATAAGAAAAGACAGGACAATAGGATAATAGGGTTTTTAAAGTGATTTAAAAAGACTGGGCAACTCTTATGTAAAAAAGGTAAGTTGTTCCGAAGATTTGGAGGTGCCACTGAAAAATTTATGAAACGTGTGTCTGGCTTTCTTTTTTGTTTTTACTTCCTTTTTTAAAAAAAAAAAAACATTTTCATAGTTTTTTTAAGCTCACTTGATGATCAATCTTTGCTTACAGGAACAATGCCGTAATAAACATCAGCAAACTTCCTTTTGTTGTTGTTTTTAAATAAATAAAATAAGTATAAACAAATAAATACAGACATATGGAATCTTACGTTTTAGCAGCTGTCTGGAGAAAAAAAAAAACAAACAGATCGCCAGTGCATGGGCCCAGCAGGGGGTCATCTTAGGCACAGCAGGCTGTTGAGATTGGTTGGATAGACTGGTGGAAACCCCGATGAGTGAGATGACATGCTGGGGACATTGTGTTTATGTATTATTTTTTTTCTCTAATGGAAATTGTAAGCAGCACTTAACAGTTAATTTTCATTTTTTCACCTTTGTTTACTATGAAGTTTGCCAGTCTGGATTTTTGAGTTTAAAGGTAAGGCAGCTTCACTGTGGGTGGATCCAAGCTCATAGCAGACCAATCAGTGTCAGTCTCAGAGAGAGAAAGAGAGGGAAGACCTAGGCCGTGCCCTTGTTGATGTAAGTAACACTATAGAAGTCAAAAGGCTTGAAATCAAACCGGTCCCAGGAGACGACCGGTGACACCAGTCTCCTTTGTGTGCGTCCATGACACATTGAGCCTTTTTAATATTTAAACATCTCTAATGGCAGCTCTGCTGTTTGTTTCTCATTTATCCTTGGCTCACACTCCTTTCAGTCACTTCCAAGTTTTTGCTCTAGCCAAACTTAGTAGGACAAAAGTCACATTTCTCTGCAGTTGATCGTTTTAATATTGCCTTCCTCCTATGGTTTTAATCCAGTCCTCAACAAGTTATTTTTGACCCCCTCCCACTGTCACAGCCATAACTGCCTTGCGTTTCAGAAAACTCCCTGGTGCTCTTTTAATTCATACCCCATCTGGAGCTATGTGTAGGTATTCAAAAGTAAACCGCTTCATTATCTCCTTGTTCTGCATTTTGTCAACTCTGTGTATATTTTGGCTTTTGTGTGAAAATGAAGGAATCCAATATGTTTCAGCCACTCTGATAAAAAAAAAAAAAAAAAAAGGGGGGGGGGGACAAAACATCAGAACTTAAACTGCTAAGAGACGTCAGATAAGTTCATGAAATGGTTGTTGTAATGTCAGCTGCTAACGGGTATTCCCTCCAGTGGGTACGCTACGATGATATTGTAAAGGTTTTTATGTTTTAAAGTGGTAAAGTAAACTTTTTATACAGCTTCAGCAGTTGGCCACTAACATTTACGTTAATAATAAATTTTAGACTGAGTAAAAATTGCTGATCACCAGTTTATTTGTGTTAACTGTTTTTGCTTTTTAATAATACATCAGTGTGAGGAGTTCAGTTGTTATGGAAACGATAGGCCGGTAATCGCACCCCAAAGGAGTGTTTTCCAAACACTTTTTAAAACTGTAGAATCATCAGTTTTTATTTAAGTTGCAGCTAGCTGCAGCTTAGCAGTACATCAGCTGTACTTTCTCCTCAGATAGAAACATCAGACAGACAGGGTGTGGTGGAATAGGAGTGAGTAGAGGCTCCGAATGAAAAACAAGGAACTGTGTTCTACCAAATTACTCCTGTGAAATTGGAGAAGGCGCTCCCACAAAATGGACTTAAGAGTCAGTAAGGCTGTTTTTTCTTTTTTTTTTAAACAATCTAAATGACATTGATTGGCTGTCAGAATACTATCCAAACCTTCTTAGTTGTCAAATTAAATCAAAACAGCAACAGCATAGTGCAGTGTGCTAATGGAAGCAAACTCTTTGTTAATGAGTTATAAAAAGTCACACTATAGGCCGTGAGAACAGAAACATAACCACAAACACACTTAAAATCTCTTCAAAGATCACTATGCACAACACAATATTATCACTGACGGACTCTTTTCAGTTCCAAGAATTTGTTGTGATCGACTAGATTTTTAAAACTCACCTGCGGTATCATGCAGTTTATTTTATTTTATTTTTTCCTCCATTTCAATAGGAAAAAGAATATCCTCCATATCAAAGTGTAGATGGTGAATAAGCAGGCATTTCCTGCCCTGCATGTGGGATATGAATGTGGCTTTGGGCCAAACCTAAGAACTTCAAAGGAAGGGAGGAAATAAGCTGAGAGGCATCTGTGCACATGTTTGTGTCTTTTCATATTTATTTTTCAGACAGCCAGCACACATGCATGAAATACATGTGCACACATACGTTTCAATTAGTGCATTTTGTATAGGATTTGTGGTAGACATATTTAGTTATATACATTTGTATTGGCATACCCTAACAACCAAATTATAAAACTACCCTTTAACAACATAAAATCTTGCTGGCTAGAGCAGTTGCTAGAGGCTGGTTAGCAACTGTCTGGCAAACACCAGTCACTAGTAGGGTCATGCAGGCCTACATACTGGTGATCACTACCAGATTAAAGCGATCACCTGTGTTTTTATATGGAACATAATGACATGTTTGCTACTGCATTGCTCAGAAACTACCTGTGTCACAACATGGATATGGAGACTATTTGACTTCAGTGCAAAAGCAGAACCTTTTGAAACAGGATCAAATGTTAAGTTCAGAGCAACGGGCCCCAGCAGAGCTAAAGCTGGATTATAAATAGGGGTGGGGGGTGGTGGGGGATTGCATTCATTTAAATATATAAATATAAATATAAAATAAAATATAAATAAATGCAAGGAGAAGGTGCTGTATTCTGGACTACTGGAGACCATGGACCATTACGTTACTGCAACTCACAATCCTATACTGACCTCTGCACATCTATGATACCCCACTACACCCCAGAATGCAAAGCATAAGTGACTACCCAAAGGTGTTTAGCTCAAACTTGCGATGTACACCTGGAACTCGGCCAGATTGAGGTTGAATGATGTTCACACCATAAAAAAACTCTGGAGTTCATTAAGAACTAGACTGGGACAACCTCCTCTAAATAGTGAATGGTGAAATTGTTTTGTTTCACACCTGAGTGCGATTACTGCATTCATATTTACACAAATGAATTGAACCAAGGAGAAGAATGAACCAGAGTTCAATATAAACAAAATACTGCAAGTGTGAAAATACCGTAACCGAACACGAAACGATGTGCTTGGAAGCATATGTTTCTGACTTAGTTCTTTATTCTCATTGCTAAACACAACACTATTCACTGCACTGTCACACAGTCACAAAGTGCAACCCGATGGGCAAGTGCTAAGGGGAGACACCACATAGGGTTTAAAATGCCCTTAGCAGTTGAATCCTGGGTTTGACCCCACTGACTGGACCTCGACCTCTGTTGCCTATCATTTGACAGTTTCTCGCTATATTTGTTCAGCTTCTGAATAAAGGCAAAAGCCAAAACAGCCATTTTGTTGGGTTCCATGTTCCTTTCTGTTTGGACTTACCTTGCTATGTAACACAGATGTATGCGAATTAAGGGGGAAGTGAGTTGTGGAAGTAGCCGTTGGTGTCTGTGAACTGGAAGCCGTTTTATGTTGCAGTCTGACGCCATCACTGAACTCAACACAGTCAAAGTTGCTCTTCCACACCATTACCTGTGAACCAGATATAAATGTATTAAATAACAATACTCCATTAAAGTTAGTAATGAAGAATGTTAGAATACTCTGCCATCACCTGTTCATCAGAGCCTCCAGAGGAAAAGTACTCCCCTGTCCTAGAGAAGGCCACACAGGTGACTGGACCCTGGCGTGAGGTAAAAAGCAAAAAAGGTGGAAAATGAATCTCACAATACAGTAAAGTCATATCTGTCTGACAATGAAAGTAGTCCTAAAACTATCAGCTATGAACTGTTTGCTTAAGTTGAAAGAATCACTACATTTGGAGAGAATGTTTTCTAAAAACCTCAACAAATGCAGCTGAACAAACTGGCCCCATCTGTGCTAAAGATCACAATATTGGTTAAAATGATTTGCCAATTAAAAGTCTCCATGTCTAGCAACTACTTTAAAGGCTGCCTAATTGATAAAGTCACTATTTTCATGCACAAATAACAAAAATAAGCAACATTTTATAAATTCAATAGACCAAATGATTTCATTTATCATCAGTTTAATCACTAATAAGTAAACAGTAATGTCTGCATAGATTAAAAGCTCCATGTGAGAATGGTGCTGTCTTACTGTTGCATTCATTCATTCTCAAACCTTACATATAGTAACTTAGAATGATATGACTAACATTATTTATCTCCTGCCAAGTAGCTCAGCTGCAGCAAAAATGTAGGTGCAAGTGTAAACATGGGCAGGGAGTAAACACAATACAATTTAATACGATACAGAATACAGTAATATACCCTAAAGGCACTTGCTGGTAAAAATGTATTTAAGATTCAATACAAAACAAAAGGTGGGAACATTTTTTTTATTTTGTTTGAGGCTTGTGTTTAAGCAGTTCGACTAAAACAAAACTGTACCCACAACAGAAGCTCTTGAATGTGTGTGTGTGTGTGTGTGTGTGTGTGTGTGTGTGTTTGGAGGAGGATGTGGGTGTGTGGGGCTGCAGCAGAGCAATCAATAACAAAAAGCAGAAACTCAGGTGGAGTGAGGTCACGCATGGTCAGAGCCAAAAAGGATCACCTGAAGGATGTCAGGACTTTGGCATCCTTTGTGTGTGTGCATGTAGCTGGAAATAAAATTCAGAAATCATGTTTCCTCTTAGTTTATTCTTTTTTTTCCCCACCTCATAATGCAGAATGGGGTCAACGATCTCAGCCTCAGCCCCGTGAATGCGTTCAAAGAGGGGATGAAGCAAAGAACAAACAAGTGCTGGAAAAGAAAACGGACAGGGAGTCTGCTGAGAAGAAAAAAGGAGCTGTGTCCTGTGGCTGGCACCCAGACAGGCTGGTTTGGGTGAGGAATGGTTTCCCAGAAGCACCTGAGAGAAGCAGACAGTGTCACTATAGCAACGCGACGGCCTGACAGACAGCATGTTCTGTCTGTGCTCTGACTAATGCCTGCTGCCAGGCTGGCACTTGCCATGGCCAGACACATGCACGCACACATGCACGCACACATGCACACACGCACTCACAAACACAGCCTGACAAAGCAATGAACCTTACTTGTACATTTTATGTACCGATAAATAAACACGGATAGCACAAAGCAGACAAGACCCATATGGTGCCCTTTATAAAGGCATGACTAACACGAACGATAACATACTGCTACTGCTTTTATTTTGTAAGCTATTTTTCCCCTCTAAATTGTCCCCTTTAAGCACAGTCATAAAGAACTTTAGGCTTGTGTAAAGTTCTGTACACAAGCCTGTACACAAGCATAAAAAAAGACTTAAAAAAAAAGACTTCTTAGACCCTCTTAATTATGCAGTCTTGTAACATGTGTACAAGACATTCTTTGTATAAATTTAACTGAAAAACCACAAAGAGGAAGCTCAAATGAGCTTCCTCCGAAGGGTGGCTGGCCTCTCCCTTAGAGATAGGGTGAGAAGTTCGGCCATCCGGGAGGGGCTCAGAGTAGAGCCGCTGCTGCTCCACATCGAAAGGAGCCAGTTGAGGTGGTTCGGGCATCTGACAAGGATGCCTCCTGGGCGCCTCCTAGGTGAGGTGTTCCGGGCATGTCCCACCGGGAGGAGGCCCCGGGGCAGACCCAGGACACGCTGGAGAGATTATACCTCTCGGCTGGCCTGGGAAGGCCTTGGTGTTCCCCCGAATAAGCTGGAGGAGGTGGCTGGGGAGAGGGAGGTCTGGGCCTCTCTGCTTAGGCTGCTGCCCCGCGAACCGGCCTCGGATAAAGCGGATGAAGATGGATGGATGGAACCACAAAGAGCACAAAGCTGTGCACTGTAACAACCATAATTAATGTTTACATGTCAAATTTACAAATGGGGAACAAATCTGAGAAGTGTATCATCAAATATGTGGTCTTTTGGCATGAAAATACGCATTTTGTGTAGTTCCATATCCAAAAGTTAGTCATTTTGATACACATTACATACTGACAGAATGTATTCAGAAAACTTCTATAAAAAAATTCAGCCTTCCTAATGATCCTGCAATAACCGCTGAATTTGCATTTGTCCAACCACTTTCCTGCCCGCCTTCTCTGAGCCAACGAGCTTCTGTTCCTTCTATGTTCTTTAAATCTCAGTGTTCTTCTGTCATTCTGTCTTTCAGACTCCCATTCGTGCAACCAGCCTCCTACCCATATCCACATCACTCCGGTCACTTAAAGAGCTTCAACAAGGCTCCATCTCCATCACCACCAGCGTCTAGACTCGAGGTGGGGGTCCTGTCCTAGTTTCTGTTATTTCATCAAAATCTAATTGCCATTACTCAAATGACGTATCTCAAGAAATCATTATTAATTATTTCAATTGAACTGTCTTTACTGATCTACCATTAGTAACAGTAACATACAAACATGAAGATGCGCGTTTGAATGTCAGCTTGCAACAGAAATACAGATTACCTCCTAACATTTGGGGGAAAAGACATGTTTGTTCTCTAAACCTTCCTATAACTGCTGTGGTCCCAGGGTGATGGTCCGGAAAAGTGATGCACACTTCTTCAGAAAGTTGTTCCCCATATTCACACTTCAGCCCAAACATTAAAACTACTGACACTTTGATAACAACGATCACCTCATTAGACTATCATGTTCTATTCAAAAACTTTGCCTATTGGCATTCACATGGATTTTATTTACATGTACAAACCAGCTATATATTACTGCTTTTGTTGGTGCACCTTAAAAATGATAAAAGAAGCAAAGACACTTATCTTCATGCCAGTGCACTGTCAGATTATATGATTGACAGCCACCTGTCAAGTCTCCTTCTGTGCCATCTAATAACACTTTCCGTCTTAGTTATCATGGGTTTACTGAAAGCACAATAAAGAAACAGTTACAGGTAAAAAATAATTTATTTAACATGTTACTGCTACTGATTAGCACACAATGGAGAAAGAAAAACCCTCAAAAACAACGATAAAACAGCAGTGTGCTCTGAGTATGGTAGTACTAAAAGTAGTGCAAAGGACTACTTCCTACAAAAAGATTTAATGACTAAATATGATTGTAAATCAATGCATTTATTGACTGTAATTTACTGATGAATGGGGTTCTATCTCTACTGGCTCTCGGGGTCTGACTACATATGTGCTGTCTAGTGAAGGTTTGCCAGTAAACATGACTCTCAGTCTCCTGTGTCAAATTTCCCATTACACATTCAAAACGTTGGTTTGGCTGTAAACTAAGGTTGATGACACAAACCAATTAGGTAAACTGCAGGGATGTCTTAAACTCCATAAAGACCTGGATGACCTCTAATTTCCCGCTTGCAAATTCAGATAACACTGAGGTTATTTTACTCGGTCCTAAAAATCTTAGAAACAGGGTGTCTCACCAGGTACTTATTCTGGATGACATCACACACTAACACTGTGAGGAATCTTTGAACAGGATATGTCCTTCAACGTGCATATTAAATAAATATGTAAGACTGCTTTCTGGGATTTGTGCAATCTCTATGTTTACATCTTGTCTCAGAGTGTTGCCCAAAAAAACCCTACTTCATGCATTTATTACTACCAGGCTGGACTACTGTAATTCATTATTATCAGGCTGCCCCAATAACTCCCTGAAAAGCCTTCAGTGAATCCAAAAATATGTCAGCAACAGGGACTAGAAAGAGAGACCAGATTTCTCCTGTATTGGCTTCGCTGCATTGGCTCCCTTGTATAAGAGAATTTCATTTAAAATCATTCTGACACACAAGGTCTACAATAACTTGGCTTCATCTTCTCTTATAAACCACATAGTACCACATCACACCACTAAAGCACTTTGCTCTCAGAGTGCAGGCTAACTAGTGCTTCCCTGGGTATTTAAAAGTCGAATGGGCAGCAAATTCTGGAGACAGATAGTCTTTCTACTTTTAGATGAAAACTTCCCTTTTTGACAAAGAATATAGTTAGTGCTGATCAGGTAATCCTGAATCCTCCCTTAGCTACACTGCAATAGATCTTTTTTTGCTTCACTCACTTCTTTTGACTTTGTTTTGACTTGTTTATGCACCATTCAAGATTTAATCACTGGCGCTCTTCCACAGAGTATGTATATATTTTTCCCGTTTCCCTCCTCTCACCCCCAACTGGTCATAGCAAATAGCTGCTCCTCCCTGAGCCTGGTACTGCCAGAGTTTTTTTCCTGTTAAAAGGGAGTTTTTCCTTCCCACTGTCGCCATGTACTTGTTCACAGGGGATCGTCTCACTCGTCTCGTTTCACTGTATTATTGTACAGTCCTTACCTTACAATACAAAGTGTGTTGAGGTGACTTTTGTTTTGATATCAAGCTATGTAACTACAATGGGACTGAATTGACCGAAAAACACAACTCTCAACAAATGCAGGAATTTTGCTATGACTAAAGCAGCAGACTCACTTGTGTTGATTATAGTTGCCACTTTTAATAAACTGGTTTGTGTCTTTGTTATCAAGTCAGTTTGAGTGCCAATCGCCGCAACCTTTGAGTCTAAGAGTGTTAAACAGCTGTTCAAAAACTATAAAAGGTTTGAATACACTGTCATGCAGCTGAGTTATTTTATTTTCTGAATTCACTTCTCACACAACATGAAGCCCCACAGTGTACTCCGTTTCAAAGAGATTAAGGATGACAAGCGACTCATCTTGTTCATGATGTCTTTAAAAACCAAAATTATCTCAAGCACTTAGTTAAAGAATTACTTTCTGAGAAGTTTTGGAACATGTTGTGAAAGTAAGTTGTCAGCGAGTGAAGCAGAGAGACAAATTAACCTAAATTAACACAATTCAAACCAATCAGGTAATGTCCTCCCGAGGCTGGGTAAACAACACATTCGTCAGCTCCAGCATCAAAACACTTGTTTTCACGTATGGTAAATGCACACAGGCCTACACAAATACACAGCACAAACCTTTACACCCACACTGAACAGATGGGGGTCTCTCCCATCTCCAGCTATGCGATTGGAGAGACAATTAGCACTCTTAGTCTCCTAGCACCAACAGATTGGTGGTGTCACCGCGGAGCCAAAAAGAACAACAACACAAACTGAGACACAATATAAGAGATGACAAATTTGGAGGCGTAAAGAGAGAAAATGAAAGTTATTTATTCTTGACAGAAAGGAGAGTCTTGGCAAGTGCCTGGAAAGAAACACAGATGAAACAGAGAAGACAGCAGAGGAGACGTAGCAGAGACATAGATAAACAGATGGACCACATGTGGTACTGGCAAGCTGCCGATTTCCACAACTAGCCAGCTACCCGGTCCATCGGCTGTTCAAACAAACCGATACAGTCAGTGAGCCGTCCGGCCAGGTGGCCCTGCCAACCCAAATGTGAGTAAATCAGATGTGAGACAAAGGGGGAAAAAATGTGACGAAAACATGGCAAAGAAAGAGTTGTACCGAGGTCTGAGAGGAACAACGGGACAAAATCGGAGAAGGAAGAGAAGAAAAGGAAGAGAAGAAAAGGAGAACTAGATCCAGAAGAACGGAGGCAGAAACACAGTAGCGTTTCCTTCCAGCAACCCTGGGATGAGTCACGATGAGTGGGCTGCCCGTTCACCAGGCAACTACTAAAATACCCCATATACAAAAAAAAGGCAACGTACTCACACACACTCACAGACGTACACAAAAGAGATATCAAACACTCTCACACATAAATGTTCGCACCAAACTCTCAACACATGCGGAAAACCAAAGCAAACAACAGAAGTGACCCGTCGTGATAATGAGAAGGTAAACAGAACAGCTAAGCCTGCCGGACATCTAAACAATATTTATGTGTCACATGTATGCGTGTCTACCTGGTGACCGTGCAGTGTATACAGCAGCTTGCCCTCTACGAGGTCCAGGACTTTCATTGTGGAATCGCTGGACGCAGTGATTAGGAAATTACCAGCTGGGTGGAAAGACAAACTGTTCACCACACCGCTGTGAACTGGAACCACACACACACACACACACACACACAAAAGAAGAAAAAAAAACAGAGTTTAAAACAGGCTTAAAAAAACTAAATCTTTTGTTACTGTAATTAAAATTGAAATAATAAGACAAAAAGTAACTGGAACATTCATTAAATAGTTTATTACCTATTTAACATTTTTGTATCATAAACAAGCAAGAATAATTAAAGATTTTTATGATTGAAATCATGACAATGATAATGTGTGGTCTATAAGACATGCCATAACAGTGAAAAAAACCCATGGAGTAAATCTATAGAAGGGATATGAATCCTTTCCCAACTTTATACATCTTTTAAAACATAAAAATAATCAGATTAATA